TACATTATCACCATAATCAGTTATAAGAAAATAAATCTTATTACATTGTTATTATTGAGCGTGTTATACATTTAAGTACGAAAAATTTATACAATTTTTACATTTCTGATCCTATTGTCTCTCTTAACATTCTACTTACTGTTACAAAGAAAATATGCTAAATCATTAATTTTTTGTTTGGGACATACTTGGAGAATACTTTCTTGCTTGAGATAAGTATTCTCTAAGTATTTAATTACTTTCTTGCATAATAAACTTTCCAACGAAGTAGTGCATAGGTGATTATGTGTAAACAGAGTATCCAAGAGCTAAGTACTATCAGAATAACGTAAAATGGTACTGTTGGCATATCCATCATCGAGAGAATCTTGTTTGGCGAACGAAGGTAACAGTAGATTTCCGAGCACGACAGATCCGATCGATTAAGATAAACCGCCTGCATCATTCCTTCGAATGTGTGTCTACAATAAAATTTACATTTCTCAAATTTACTAAAAAAATAAGGCAAATTGAAAATACAATAAAATAGTATTTCTACAAATAGGAAGCAAGAACAACTGTTTATAAATAGCCATTAGAAATTATTATATAAAACGTTTCATATGGAAAACATCATGTAGTAATAATAAGTTTAAATGCAAAAAAATTTTAATATTAGTAATCACTATGGTATAATTAAATTGTCTGTATTATACCTGTAAAAGCTCGTAGCGCTTAAAGGCCGTAGGTATACCGACATTTCTCTAAATTTCAAGTAATATCCGGCGAACACCACTAATGGTATACTGACTGCCGTTATTAATAAGAAACCTAACTGAAAGAAATTATACTTGGTCAGCTACATTATCTGTTCATACATATTAAATAAAAATCAAATTGAAATTTGAATGGTATAAGCTGCTCAATATATATATACATATTTAAAGTGAAAAATTATTTATTATTATAAATAAATTGTCTAATGTGACTTATTAACGTATTACTATTACAAACAACTATAGCCGTGATATTTTCCGATATAATATTGTAATAAGTATGTAATGTTGACTTATTATAGCCTTTTTTGTAGTTTTTCTAATAACGTAAATATTAATTAAAATAATAAAAAATACCGCAGCTGAAATACCTTAGTGCCAAGAGCTGCGCCTGAAAGCATCCCGGCCGTTTGTCCAATAATTGTAATTAACAGGCAAACGCTCCACATCTGTAGAATTCTAATATATTCCATTGGCTGCCCTGTCATATAATATAATATAAACAAGAAAGATGAGGCGCAAAGTATCTAGAAATTAGACAAATTTTTAATTAATTTCAAAACTAGTGATAATATATTTAGGTAATATTTAGTCAGTACTTTATGTCTGAAAGAAATAATTGATAATAATTAGTAATAATACAAATAATACTGCATTAAAACATACTTGTAACGGAAGATCCGTTAGTATTTTTAC